GTCAGATGTGAACGAAGAAACGCACGCACAGCTGTGAAATTAGGCAGCTAGAGCCACGGCCCTGATGGCCGTTTAGTTGGGTAACCAGAGGCCACACCCACATTTCACTGAGACATATACCCACGAACACGAACACACACACAAGTACATATGTATTTGACTGAGAAAAGAAAAAGAAAGAAACCGAATATTATAGCAATTCCTTGGGGAATGTTCGTGCGTATTTTGGTCAAACATTTTTATGAAAAATGAGGCAACATCGTTGCCCATAAATAGGCCGTAAACGAGCCTAAGTCCATAGACACTGGGCGATATATGTGTGCATGTATATCTCTCAAGATTTCGTCGTCGGCACAGATATTAATCGCGGGTGTCGAACAATTAACATTGGTTGCTGGGCTCAGACTCCTCAATTTGGCTTAGCAAAATCATTTTCAGCTGCTTTTTATGATAACATAATTAGGTCGAGTTGTTGCCCGATTGCTTGTCAGGGCCAAAAACACATTTTATTTATGATTTGTTTTACGCTAAGTGACAGCTAATGGACTTGGGCCCATAAAAGGTGGCCAAGTGTTTGCGAAACCGAAGAAGCCATATGCCAGGCTTGATTGCCACCGTTACGAGCTGATTGGTTTGACATTGAATTTGACTTTGACGTCGACTTTGAATCACTGACTTCAATAACATTCAGCTGGCAACTCATCACTATTCAAATTTCAATACTTGCGCCGTTGACATGACAAGCATGTAGCAACATCTTGTAACGCAATCAATCGAGCTATAAACTTGAAGCCGTCCCACAATGGACTCTATCTCATGCATAATGTAAATTACAACAATATGGCAAAAGATGCAATTTCAACTTTAATTGCATTTCAACGAACTGCGAAAACTTTGCCCTTGCAATATCGGCGACGGCCAACAGCTTCAGCTGACAACTATTTACATATTTAAGTGCAAAAGAATGTTGCAAGCTCTGTCACCCACTACGCACACACACACAGACACACAGACATTTAATCAACTTAATAATCACTTGCATAATTAAGTTGAAGTTCGCATGCGGCGTGTCGCCCATTGATAACAGGCCCAGGCCTCATAAAGCAGCTAGTTAGTGCATAGTTGAATTAATGAATGGGCATGCTTCAACCGAGAGCAGTTTGCGTCAAGTTCTTAACTAAACAAAAGTATTTGCTAATTTCCCCTAACTGGTTACTCTGCTCGGCTATCAAAGCTATCCATTGCTATCAATTGCCACAAATAACCATTTTATGCTTGAGGATAAGAATTGAATTCAATTACTTCTGATTTATGAGCTAATAAAAGTATCAGAGTCATCTGCTCAAACACTTGGTGTATCTGAAACAATTAGTTCGCTGGCAAAACTTTAGGGTATTTTTACAGTTGGGCTTTCACGAATATGTAGCATATCTTTCGGCGCAGGCCTGCTTGGGGAGCATTTGCGGCGTATTAAGTGAATTATAATTTGCTCGCTTTTGAGTGTGTGCATAAATGTTTAATTTAAATTTTAACTTTTACATATTATTGCTGGCGTTTGCTCAAGCTCAGTTTTAAAGCGCTTATGACAATGAAAAGCAATGAAAATGACATTGAAAGCGTACCAAATTGACACTCGACAAGCTTTTGTACTTACCATGCTCATTTTATGACAAACTATTTATGCCATGCGGAATGCTGCTTAATGCCAAAACACTTAAGAGCCAACTAAGTTGCGTAACAAATAGTTTCGTCTGAGTTTTTGTGTTTTACTCAAGAATTTAGAGATTGTCTGATATAAAAATAAAGTTGTTTCAGCTTATAATAATTGGCACAAGCTGTATTGATTATTGATCTAAAAACTTAGCTAAAGATTATTAAAACTCGATTAAAATAAACTCTGATTAAACTTTAAGGCTTCGCTCTTTTCTAATAAGTCTACAATAAATATCATTATAATAAATGGTTAGATTTAAGTACACGTGCTTGAAGGGAAATCAGTATATTTCTGTATTTTTATCCTTCTGTCTCTTCGTATATATATGTAACATCCATAGAAATACAATACAAAGCCAGAAACTTTAAATTTTTGGAATTTTAGTCGTGACTAGTCCCATCCACAGTTGTGCAGCTCAAATATGACAAGTGGATTAAGGCTTACCTCCTTTAAAGATTGATCAAATATTACATATAAAAGCAGATTTAACTCAGATCTCTTTGCAACTGTGTTCCTTTGTTGTCATTCCCTAAAAATAAACCTCAAGATCGTTTGATGAAATCATGTAGTTCTCATTGAATCTTGAACTTCTAGTAGGACTGCTTCTCTACTTATTATAAAATAAAGTTTGAAGTCCAATTAAAAATATTTAAATCAGAAGTCAGCTAGATATATACATTAATGCATCTCTTTGCAAATTCAATGATAAGTTTTCCTCAATATCTCCTCCTTATAAATAAAACAATAACCAAAACTTTTCCATTAATTATTCCATTAATTATTGGATTACACCATAAAATTAAAATTCCTTCAGTGTTCAGCGCAGTCAAACTACATCCAATTATTAATTTAAATAAGCTGAAATCAATGTGTAATATTTTAGAACTTGATGAGAATGAAAAGTTTGCCAGCATATGCCACACACGGCATGCCGCAGATCCTTTGTGGTTGCTTATGTTATGTACCGCACACCCACCCACATTCTTGCAGCGCAATGTTGCCAAGGACAAGGAACGGCGTATTCTATGGCCATCGCAACTATGAACATTCATACATAGAAGAGGTAAGCGCGCATACTTAGCGCCAACTGTCTGCACTTCGCATATGCTTACAGCATGAGCTGCACACAGACACACACAGATACACCAACACACACATGTATAGTAGTATTATATTATGTGTATGCCTTAACACACATGTATTTGCATTTGTGCTTTTTCATTTTATGCATTTAAATATTCATGGGCTGCTTAAAATTTAAATTACCGCAGCAGTGTGAGTTAGTTAGGATCAAGTTCAGAAAGGCTGTATATGCAGTGTGTGTGCGGGTGTATATGTATGTGTGTGTTGGCCAACCAAATGCACAAGCGTGTCGGGGAAATGCCTTTTCGGTCTTTGGACCTGTTCTCTCGTGCTTTTGTACATTTGTTATTTAGTCTGCGGATTTGGTCAACCAAGCGACGTTGTTTACAATCAGCTCGCAAAAAATTTAAAACAAAATGTAAAATGCGCTGAAAAAGCAACCCATTGGAAAATCTGTATTCTAAAAGCGAGTGGGTGTAACGGTTATACTAATCTGCCGCGCTCATCAAATTTGAAGCGTGCTGCGCTATTGCTCGCTTTTGCTGGAAAAAAAATCAGGCTTTGCTTGGTCAAGTGAACTAAATTTCGGAACTAAAAATTAAACAAAAAAGTTTTTTTTGGCCACTGAATGAATGGGCAGGCAGGTAAATAAATTGGAGTGCCCACCTGGCCAATGCTGAAATTGTAGCACATTGTAAGTGCCGCAGAGAACAGACACAAATACCAATACCCACACAAACAGGGAGAAAAACGCAATCAGCGCACATGTCATACGCGTCGTATGCGTTATGGTATTTGCATAAAAATGCTTTAAGATTATATGTGTGTGTGTGTTTGTTTTGCCACGCATATTGTCCAAAGCCCAATACATAAGACTGGAAAAAACTTTTAATGCATTTTAGTCCTGTGCAATTAAAAAATGGAAAATAAAATTCTAATCAATCGTTCATCAAAATTCATGGTCATGGCCAAGATATATACCTAAAATTTAAGCTGTGTGATAATTGATAGCAAGTCTTAAATTTAGTAAATAACTACTGCGGCAAGAATTTAAATTATTAAAATGGGATAGAAATTGTTAAGAAAAACTATTTCCCTTTTGAGTTATTGATTTGGGAAATGAAGATGAAATTTAACCTTCGCAAACTAAAATAATATAAAAGAAAATTTAATATTTAAATCGATAATAAATGTAAACAAAATAACGAAATAAATAAATTTAAAAATTTTAAATTTTATTATCTCTTTTAATTTTAAAGTTTTATTGTTATATCTTTTCTTCATCGGATCTACAACTTATTTTAAGATTATAAATTAAGCTCCGACAGTGCCTGTTGAGTGTTGGGAATATTTAGTTTGCAGACAAAGCCTTAACTAAATTTGTGACAAGGCGCAACTACCAACTTCAGCTTAACTCAAAATATGCTGACACAAACAACATCATGTGCAATATGCATGTGTCCGAAGATGTGAGCTGTGTGTGTGCGTGTGTTGATAGTAAAGCGGCGCTCTACAGTTGCGTAATGGCACAATTTTACACTTGAGCAAACATGCGCTTGCCAATATTTGGCCAGAACTGGAGAGCTACAGTGAGTCGCTGCATGGCGTGTCAGCTGCTAGAAAGACAACATGGCATGGCGTTGAAGCCGTGAATGTTATAAATATTTGATGCACCCATCCACAGGGGTAGCAAATGCTGAACGACACAGCGACTTAATTCAATTTTTTGGCGCACACACAAAGCGTTGCCAGCGATTGCGTTAAATGGTCTTGGCAACATGACGTATGGGTAATATCTTATTAGCGCTGACTTTTCGCCAGCTCATTGGCAATTAGTGTTTAACCATAAAAAGGCGTTGGCAGCAGCTGCCAAGCGAATTTGTCGCCTTTACTGAGACTCATTAATGATGCACCTTTGCTAACCAAAAGCGATGCCATTTAGCATGACAATGCAAAATGAAGACCTCAGAAGTGTTTATGAGACAAATTATGAGCTTTTATAAATATTTGTATTTTAAATTTGTATTTGCATTGACTTTTTGGCTGACTGCATGAAAGCATCGGAGTTGGCAAGGATAAAAATGCTTTCAACTTTTATTTTATGGTCAGGAAAGTCTATGCCAAGGGGCAGAGATTGCAGAGTTACAAACAGCTACATCCAACGCAACTTAAGTCAATAATTCCCAATTAGCAACAAAACCTAGTTGGCTATAACAAAAAACTATCCTAACTGTAGGCTGCTTTCTTAAATAGACTCTAAATGTGAGTAGCACACATAATCCAGAAGAGATAAATTGACAAACGGATTGTCCTGCGTGGAGCTTTATATATATTTCATAAAAATTTGTTCAAAATGCAGAATCATGGCAAAGAGGAAGAACACTTTCAGTTTATGCAGCGCACAGACCGCAAGAGTCTATACACGCAAATTGGTTTGCTGGTGGCCAAGGCACAGCAGATAGTGAGCGAGGAGTTGCAGGAGCGTAGCTCGCGCTTGAAGAATATGCTCGAGGAGGAGGATAAGAAGTATGAGGAGGAGTTTGCCAGCAAAGTGAAGAACCGCCTGGACGACGAGATACGGAATCGCCAAGAGCAACTGAAGGAGATCAAGGAGGCGCGTGACAAACGCCACAAGGAGTTCGTCGATGCCAAACGTATGCAGCAGGTCATGTTGAATTGCTATGAGCTCCGCGAGGCGCTGCGCCAGAAGGATCGCGAGGACACCAGAATCTGTCTGGAGGAACAGATGCAGGAAAATCAGCGTATGAAGCGTCGCGAATGCCAAAGAGAAAATTATTGGCTGCAACTCGAGCAACGTCGCTGGAATGAGTTCGATCGAATGAAGAATTGTGAGAAACACAAGCGGAAACAAGTGCAGGAACACGTATGTCAAGTGCTGAAGGTGCAATTAGCGGAGCATGAAGAAGTTCGACAAAAGGAGCTCGAAGAGAAGCGTCTAGACACCATCAATGCGGACAAACTGATTGAAGAACTGCGCCTGGAGGAGTTCGACCAGAAGCACAGGCAATTGGACAAGGGAATGCAGAAATATCGCAATGAATTACTTGAGGAAATTCGACGCCGCAAATGCGCAAAGATCGCTGAATGGGAAGCCGATAAAGCAGAGCACGAGCAGTTCATACGCGAAACGCAACGTCTCGAGGCAGAGGCCAAAGAGCGCATCTGGCAAACCAAGCGTGAATTGGGACGTGCCACACACGAGTACATTGCCTATGTGCGACGCATGCGCAGCCTTGAGCTGGGCATTGAGAAGATGATGGACGATCGCACCGATGATCTCTACCATATGGACTATTGCTGCAAGAAAAATGTGGCCGAGCAGACGCGCCTTAAGCGCGAGGAAGCTGCGCGCTGTCATGCGTATCTTAAGAAGCAGATCTGCGAGGAAATTGAGCGGAAAATGCGCCAGGAAGCTGAATATCATGAGGACAAAATGCCCCAAAATCCTTTCGTCCATCCGCCAGTTACCAAGACTATGATACTTTGCCAAAAGCGACAGAGATGTTTGGATTTAAACGCTCAAATTGTCGAGATGAAACGCATCCAGGCTGAGGAGGAGCAGGCCTTCGAGAAAAAACTATTAAAAGCTATCGACGATCCACAGGTGTGCATTCAGTTAGCTGCTCAATTTATGGAGGATAACAAGGACTATCTGCCGGCGCATCCTAATTGGAAAATACACGCCTGCCCCAAAGACAAATACGTCGCCAAGCAGCCCATGACTCAGCAGGCCTTCGATGAACGTATTGCCAAGGCCGGCATAGACAGCTGTCCGTTCCCAAAGGCTGCTCGCAACGATTGCGCTTTAATGGCTCAGGTGTGTGACCATGCATCACCGGCCAAGAAAGACGAAACGGGAGCAGGAGACAGCGAGCCAAAGACTCAAAAAGATGCATTCAACAGCTGCAAATGTGACATCTGACAATCCATGTCATGAACAAATTTTATTCTCGTGCCCGTCCAGATAAATACCACAAGTTAAGTTCAGTTTAATGTTTAGTTCAAGGATTCGAATTGTTTTGGCCGCCAGGAACGATTTTCTTGAGAACTTCATGGCAGAAGCAACCAAAGCTTCACAACTTGTTGTGGTGCTTCGCTGGCTTGTTCCACGTTGCCTCTCGTATCTGTCAGTCCGTTTAATGACTCGCTAGCCTCCACACAAAACAAACTTGTTCATCACTTCTCTTTTCCTGGTACTTGTCTGCACAGCTATTTGCAGCAAGTTTAGCCATTTGCACCTATAGCAACTGATTTTACTTAGCGATGAAATTAATCTGCCTTGTTGGGCACGTCATGCTTCGTTTAGACTGTTGACGCTGCAACAATAAGCTCAACAACAACAGCAATATGACGCCCAGTTGACCTTAAATATCGAGCTATTATACAGCAAAGCTGTCACTGCTGCCCCTCCAAGCAGAAGATACACACAGCCCTGAGCAACAACATGTCACTTGTCGTCAACAAAATGAGCAACTACAATGTGTGAGCCGAAGGCTTTCTGGTCCTGTGACACCTATCAATAACAAGCCTCTTGCTGACGGGAACAACACCAGCCAAGCCAACTTTCACCTTTCAAAATTGGGCCCCCAGAAGCCAATAGTTGCCTTGCCACAGATTCAAAGCAGCAACTCTGATGTGCAATAGATTAACAGCTGAAGATTGTGGCTTGGATGCGTTAACTATGTTCCTATCTTATGCTTATATCTTATAGATTACACAGCAAATTGTCTTGCTCGTATAAGACATAGATGTCTTTTAATGATGCTACCTCTGATTTAGCAGAAAGTTCTGTTATGACCAAACTTTGAAGGAGTTCCCTTAACACGTGGCTGAATTCAAAACTATACCAAATTTCAGTTGTGGCTAGCCATCGTCTTATTCTATTTGGGCTTTCACGCTGTTCAACGCATTCAAATGATGAATGAAATTAAATTTGAATGCAGCAATAGAAATGCAATTCAGAACTACGTAAACTCAGTTTGAAGATGAATTTGCTGCTTAGTAAAATACTTTCTGCTACAAGTTTTCAGTTCAGGGATTCTAAAAGAATTGGCATTAAAAGCCTAAGGTATGCAATTAATGGAGAAATAAATTGGACTGTGTAATATATGTGGGTTTTCTTAACTAAATTAGAGTGTCAGAAAAAGAAAAAAAATATTAAGTAAATACTGAGCTGAAGCCCCAAGTTGCAACAATGAAGCATAAACTACCGTACATACATGCTAATGTAATCTATAGTTACTTAAACAAATAATAATAGTAATAATAATAACAATAATAATAATAATAAATTAGAATTACCATTTTCAGTCTTAACTCTTCATGAATTCTTCACAATCGGAAAATGATGAAATAAAGTTAATTTATATGAATTTTAATATAGTTGTTTAACTAACTCTTAAATCATATTTATATTGAAAAAATAAATTAATGCATAAAATATAGCTGCATATATTAAGCTATCTGTCCGGCATATGCATCAACTCTTGATAACTTTACTTAATACTCAGTTCGCAACTTAAACTTAAAATTGCTAGCACCTAATATAGCAGGAAATGAGTCCACATGTGTTGTCAGTTTAAATCGAGTGGCAGCAACATTGAAATTTGCTGCAACGTGCAGCAAAATACAATTTTGTTTTAAGCGAGCAGCTGTGAGGCAACCGCAAAGACTGTCACAGCTGTTGAGTTGCCTTGCTGCCCCGCCTCAGTTTTCGCCCCCTTTAATACTATCTCTTTGACTCGCTCTCTCTCTGGCTACTTGCAGACGACAATTGGGGCCTACCATTGGCCATTGCGGCCAACTTACATATACCTTATCGCATTGAAATTGGCGACACAATACGTGACCTGCATGAACAGGATAAGCCTGGCAAAGGTATGTATATTGCGTAGGTGGCTGATGCCAATGCCAATTAAAATGGCCCGTTGAACAGATCGAGAACGAAAATCTGCATTTACAACTCCTCCTCCTCTCCCTCCCCCATTTGTCCTTCTCTTTGACCACACATTATATGCGTGAATTTAGCAATTATTATTACGGCCCCTCTGAACGATGACAGCACACTACGCTGGCTTCAAAGTGGCAAATGGGCAGACCGAGACCAGCACACAAAAGTATTGCTCATCGATATGGTAGCTAGCTCATTGAATGTCGAGCATCGACTCTACAAATATTTGGCACGCATCAATGCGGCTACTCGCAATGGCAATGGCAATGGCAATGGTAATGGTAATGGCAACAGCAACACCAACAGCAACAACAACAACATTGACATCAATGACAGTGTCAGCACCAGTGGACTTGAGAATGGGAATAGTAGCAGCATGCCCAAGCTGCCTGTGTCCGGGCTGGTGACCAGCAATCTGTTGGTGCTGACTCTGCTAAGCGATAAGCATCGACACTTTTTGAATGCGGCCGGTATTGGCATGGCGATGGTGCATAATTTTCGTACACCAGCCTCTGACCTTTTGCTGAACGATGAGGAGGCGACGATGGACGCATTGGCTCATCAAAATGCCAGTTTCAACAGGCTGCGTCCCTTTATGAATCTGTTCTCGCTCTACGATCTATTGCTGTCGCACATTACGACTGACAATGCCACGCCAGCCAAGCCCAAGTACGATTTCATAGTTCTGGACATTGTTGTGGATGCTGCACTTGCCACATACAAATGGCGTCCACTGCTCATATTGGAGGGTGACAAGGCGCTGGGACACTCGGGCAGTTACATAACGCACTCCATTCAACCGGGTTACGATGAATGGCTCTTGGTCAGCAATGCTCAGATGTGGCATTGTGGCGCCATCTGTTGGACAATTGCGGCAATATGCATAGGCCTGCTGATCATCATTGTGGCAGCCAGCGTCGCTGCTGGCATAGCCGTGAGGTAAGTAAACTACCCACTTCTTTAACTAATGCTAAAACAGAAAATAGTACCTTCGGCGGGGAATGCAACAAATGTCGATTGATTGACTCAATTTTTTTCTTAAATGAAATGTTTAAAATGTTATTTTAACAATATTCTTTTTTTACAAATATTAATTTTGGTAGTTAAGAATAAAAATATGTTCACCGAAAGTTTTTGAAAATGAAATTACTAACTAATAATTTTAGGATATCTAAAAGATCTGCTTTTGCCCTCCCAAAACCCTTTTCTAAAATAAGAAATAAACAAAAACTTTTAACTGTTGCAACAATTCTCTTTATAATTACAAATTTCTAATGCAAGTGAGGTTTGATTTATTACAAATTAAGCAAATTATTCACTTCATTATATTTTTAGTCAGTTCATAAATTTTAAATCATTTTTAGCCTTAAAATATAGTTTATGTTTCATTTAAATTCCTAGCAAATAAATTTCAATACCAATGCCTTATCAGATAAAAACATAATTTCCACGATTTAAGATTTAAATTTAGTTTTAAATAAAAAGTAGAAAAGAACTCATACTAAACGTAGTTTCCACTGTTTTAGCTTCCTTTAATAATACTTTATATTATTTTATTCTATTGGCTTCCACGTTTTAATACGCCGGGCGCACCACAGAAGATTGGCATAATCAATTAGGGCACCTTACGGGGCCCTTTCGGATATGAAAGCTTCGCCCACGCCATTGAGTAGGGCGCAAAATATTTTGCGCGTGGCAATTTCCATTTTAATTTTCATCATTACGATTTTTCCCTGCTACGCGCCCTACCCCCACCCCCCATTTAAAATTGTTAATTGCCTGATGCTATTGCATTGAAGCTTTCGGGTTTTGTAAAATGTTAGTTTTGTTTTTGCATAGCGCATAATTAGATAGCTTTTAATTTTATTAAGTGAGCCGCATCCACGGAGCAACGTCGTATTTTAGGCATGCGCCGAATGAATAAATTAATTTTAAATTTTCTTCGCATTTCATTTCAATTAAGGCTAATAGAAACTGATTTCTTGTTAGGAATGTCACTGGCATGCCAAACACTTCAAAATGGTCTTCTATTGGCCAAATTAATACATTAATTACTTATCACACAAAAACATTCCCGGAATTTGAGGAATGCGAATACCTGTGTGCTTGAATAAGCCAAAATAATATCAAAATTGCTTTGGTCGGAAAATAATTTACGGAAAATCAATTCACTAGCCACAAATGCATAGCACCTGAAGCACACATACACACTTATATATATATAACCTGCACACTCGCCTCGTCCATTAGAGCAAGCATTAAATTAATTACATTCATCAAAGCGTAGCACACTAAAGTTGACATTTAGACACCACAGACACACAAATAAATTGATTTATATATAAAATTCAGGTAAAAATATGTCGAGTGTGGTTAAACAATACTTCCCGGGAGAGCATCAATTATGCCAGCAAAAACTCTAGTTGAGAGGCAGAGCCTTTAAAACTATGTAGTTACATGTCCGAAATTAAAGCCACAACTCAACAATCAAGCCAATTTTTGCGCCTCCACTTGAAATGCAACTCATGAAGTTTTAATTAGCGTGTGCAAAATAAAACCGGCCTGACAGCAAACAGAAAGCGGCCAGAACCAACAAGAACAATTAGTTGGATGTGCACGACTAGGAGATACCCTGGAGTTTGTGTGCAGCCGAAGCAAAAGCAGTAATAAGGGAAATATTTATCAGCTCATAGAGCACACCATGCTTACCTTTCTTATTATGATTACTTTATGAAGTTTTCTTTGGGGTATTCAATTTTGAATATAAGTCAAACTCAGAGCAGATTTGTAACTATTTTCAAAATACTTCATTAATTAATATGAAAGTTTAATATTTCTATTATTGTCAGTTCTTTAAAGCAAGTTTTGAAGACTTCAAAAAACAAAATTCTTAGAAAGTTGTTTACAATGCAAAAGAGAACTTAGATCTTATGTTTGGCATATATTCACCCAACTAATTTCTCTGCCATAACTCGACTGTGAATAGCCCACAGCATCAGTAAACAGGGTATATAAAATGATGCACACGCGCAAACTGTTTTTATGCTGAACGATCCGGCTGATTATCAACCTGGTTAACGCACAGGTAAAAGTTTTCTGTGGTTAAGCCGTAAGCTGTACCGTAAATAGAAAAACTTTAATGGCTTTGGGGTTGGCTACTTAACAGCCGTTACACGTGTGCCCAAAGACTTTCGACTAGGTTCAGTTAATGCCTCTTAATGCGCATAATACACTTAACCTTACACAACTTGGCCAACTTCTGGCTTAACAATTGTTCCATGAATTTGCAATTTTGCAACAGTGGGTGCGCGCTGTGTCCCCTCGGCCAGGCGTGTGTTCCATTGTATTGTCAACTAACTGTTATACGTAAGCATTTACGTAACCGCAGGAGCCAACGGACAACGGACAACGGCCAACAGCCAACGGCCAACAGCTGACTAAGCTAATAAATACACATTTCAAATAGGATAAAAGTAAAAAAATTGCAAGTAAGCGCGTAATACTCAGCAGTACTAGGTTAGGTATACCCTAGTAATAGACAGAGCCAAAAGACATATGATATTTATTTTATATATGTATATATCTCTAAATGGATTATACTTTTCATTCCCTTGGTCCCTTTCTGTGGAGATATTTTGTGAATTATGTTTACGGGCTGATCATCGACAAGTTCAAAATGTTTTCGACTATATAATCCAAATTATTCTTCGTATTAATATAGCAAATATAGTATATATTTTATTTTGTATATATAAAACTCTATCATTTCCTGATTCGTCTGTCTTAGCTAGCAACTTTGACTAACATAGTACACCCAATATTAACTAATATACAGGATATATAAATGAGGTAAAACCAGCAGCCAACAATGAATTTGCTACATTTCATGCTACAGTTAATTGAGCTAATTCTGAAGTTGTGGCAAGCTTTTGTTGCAGTTGCGTGAAATTGCTGCAGGTCACTTTGTGGCAGAACAAAACAGAAGTTAATGATGAGGAAAACTAAATAATCTGATTGGATAACAATGCAAATAAATAAAATATAAATAGGAAAAACAAATACAGTTCATTAGATAACAATATATATATACATATATGATACGATCATACGCCTTCTGCCAGATATATCGCTAAGAATTAGCCAGTTTACCGTATCAACTTGCTATGGGTTATGGAGTATGTGACATTCGAGCACACGAAAATAAAGAGTTTCCGCTGATTTGACTGATCTATGTATGATCATTATATATATTTTATATATATATATTTTATTTATATATATATATATATATATATATATATATATATATATATATAAATTTATTATTTTCATAACTTATTCCAATGCCTAGAAACTACTTTCTGCGGAAAAGACTGTCGAAGGGACCCAACAAGATTGTGCTCTCGGCCAGTGACTTTGTTTTCCCTGTGGACTCACGTCGCGTAAGTTAACTGAATCTAAAATCTAAATTGATTATCTAAATATAATTTTCACTTTGCAGGTGGATGAGGGCATTGAGGCCATGCTCTGCTGCTGGCTACAGCAGCTGCAGGAATTCGGCGGCCCCGAGGTGGACAAGCCAGATTTGCTTAAGGGCTCGATTGGCTCGCTGAAGAATCTGGGTTTTGTAATTCCCGGCACGGCTGCAGCGGGCAACAGTGGCGGCATAGCTGGAGCTGGTGGGACTACCACAACGGCAACGGTTAACGGCAAGACTGGCTCCTCGGCATCGGGCAGCCTGGCTCGTCATAAGCCCGCGCATCTGGACATGCGCGCACGCTACAACGGCGATCTGGTGCAGCTCAAGGAGATACACTTGAATGGCTCAGCAGAGCTGCGATCGAAGGCCATGGACCTGCTAGTCATGGCGCATGGGCTGCGGCACGAGAATATAAATCCCCTAATTGGCTGGCTGTCGGATCCGAGTCGCACGGCAATGGTCTTCGACTATTGTTCACGCGGCTCGCTGCAAGATGTGCTCATCATGGATGAGATTAAACTGGACTGGTCCTTCCGCCTCAGTCTGTTGACTGATCTGGTGCGGGGCATGCGCTACCTACATGCCTCGCCGCTGCGCATCCATGGCGCACTGACCTCCAGAAATTGTGTGGTGGATGCCAGATGGGTTCTCAAGATCACAGACTATGGTCTGAATTCCTTTTACGAAACGCAGGGCCTGTCGCAGTTGCCACGCAACAACAAGGAGCTGCTGTGGACAGCGCCAGAATTGCTGCGCACTATGAAAACGCAAGAGCAGCAGCAACATCACCATCACCATCATCAGCATGGACGCGTGCAGATGGGCACACAGTTGGGCGACGTCTACTCCTTCGGCATCATCATGCAGGAGGTGGTGGTGCGGGGCGAGCCCTACTGCATGCTCTCACTCTCGCCAGATGAAATTATAGCCAAGCTTAAAAAGCCACCACCCCTAATCAGACCGTCGGTCTCCAAGGGAGCTGCACCACCAGAGGCCATCAACATAATGCGACAGTGCTGGGCCGAACAGCCAGACATGAGACCCGACTTTAATTCGTAAGTGAGATTTCAACTAAGCTCAGAGGCAATGGCAGTAGACTGTTCTTCATAATGTTCTGATTGAAGGAAGATTTCTAATCTGTTAGCTTAAAGTATTATACTCTGTACTAACTTAGCCTGCAGTATCTGTAGTTGCAGAATGGAGTTGTATAAGTTTTTCTTGTTGATTTTAATTCTTAGATTCTAGAAATAGTCATCCATATGCCTCGGGAAGAGAAGTGTTGCAAAATGTCTATATTTCTTATGAAAATTAGTATTAGTTGCAAAATTATTACTTTGATACATTACGAGAAGATCAGATATATCCTTGATAAGAACATGTTTCAGATATAGCTGGAAATATGATACTTAAACTGTTTTTTAACTGCAGCGTTTACGAGCGCTTCAAAATGCTCAATCACGGCCGGAAAGTAAATTTTGTGGACACAATGTTTCAAATGCTGGAAAAATACTCGAACAATCTGGAGGAATTAATACGCGAGCGCACCGAGCAGTTGGACATTGAAAGAAAGAAAACTGAGCAGTTGCTGAATCGCATGTTGCCAAGGTATCAGTGCCACAACGACGCATGAATCTGGTCTAGAATGTCAAATGTTGTCTTCCTCTTTTTAGCTCTGTTGCTGAGAAACTCAAAATGGGCCTGGCGGTCGATCCAGAGGAGTTCTCGGATGTCACAATTTATTTCAGCGACATTGTCGGCTTCACAACAATCGCGGCTCACTGCAGTCCAGTGCAGGTGGTGGACCTTCTCAATGATCTCTACACAATATTCGATGCCACCATCAATGCTTACAATGTCTACAAGGTAAGTTGCATCATGAGGTTCAATCCTGCTTGCAATATCATTCCAACCTTCGTTGTCAGGTGGAGACCATTGGAGATGCTTATATGGTCGTCAGTGGACTGCCGGTTAAAATACCCGATCATGCCGAGCAGATAGCCACCATGGCACTCGATCTGCTCCACCAGAGCGGACGCTTCAATGTCAAGCATCTGCCAGGTGTGCCGCTCCAGCTACGCATCGGCCTGCACACGGGTCCATGCTGCGCGGGCGTTGTGGGTCTAACGATGCCGCGCTATTGTCTATTTGGCGATACGGTCAATACAGCCTCCAGAATGGAATCAACAGGTAATACGAAGCACACTTGACATCTTACTAGACCATATGCCTCATATTGCTCCCATCTGCCGCATACAGGGTCCTCTTGGCGCATTCACATGTCGCAAGAGACTCGCGATCGCTTAGAGGCACGTGGTGGCTATTCGATAGAGCCTCGAGGTCTCATTGATATCAAGGGCAAAGGCATGATGAACACGTTTTGGCTGCTGGGCAAGAAAGGCTTTGAGAAGCCCTTGCCGGTCCCACCACCCATTGGGTAAGTCAATTAATAATGGTGTATGATAAATCACTCAATCAATCAAGGGAATCAAATGCATATTAATCAATCGAGGATTACCTGAGCATGAGTATAGATCGCAAGAAAATTGTTATATTCATGGAGATCAAGTTATTGCTAACATGATTTCTGTTACCTCATTTAATTTGCATATAACAAGCTTTAAAAGCTTTAGAAATATTATATACTGATAATATTTGAGCTATGCAAATATGTTTTTTAAGTATGCTAAAAATTCTACTACAAAATTTTCTTTTATCTCAATGATTACACGCTTTACCTCAGGGAGTCGCATGGGTAGGTGGACGATTTTCTTCCATATTCTGCCCATAACATTAATCATGAATTGTGACCACAGATTGGATGAATCACTAATACGCAACTCGATTACGCTGAAGGCGCAGGCGAACAAGTCGCGAACCAGCACAAATCCGTCATCGTCTCAAAGCTCTTCGCTGGCTGGTGAAACAGTTGAGGTTAAGGTGGAGATAACGCCACCTGCTAACACGGACATGGGCTCCAGTATATTGCCCAACTCCTATTCGCTGGACTCGAACTCAACCAACACCATTAGCCCCAATACAACGCTATGTCCGGAGTTTCCTACGAAGACGCCCAGCAGCACAAGTCCACAATCGCGCAAGCTATCGGAGCTGACGCCGGATAGTCTGCTGAATCCCAATAGCTTCAATCGCTTGCCTAGCTCCACGGGCGGCTCTAGCTCGCGCTTATATAAGAAGATTGAGGAAATGATGGATCTTAGCTCACCGTACAATCACTACAAGTGTCTCAGTCCCAGCGAGAGCAACCTGACCCAGTTCTATGATGGCAAATACCTGTATGGAAATTCGAGTGGGTCCAACGTCGCTGGAAATAATGGACCTGGCAGTGGCGGCTGTTCCGTTAGCGGCAGCACCTCAAAGTTCGATAGCAAGCCAGGCTCCAGCCGACTGCTGCGTCGTCAGTTCAGTCTGGACCGCGACGATCAGCAGACCAAAGTGGAGCAGCAGCACCAGCACTCGCTGCAGGCCAGCAACTATGCTGCCTTAATGAATGCCAGCAAGAACTCCATGCTCGATATACCAATGCTGCACGACACTTCGCGCAGTCCGAAAGGCACCTTGACACGAGCGCACAAACAAAACTCAACATCCATAGCGCAGGACTTGGAGAAGATCGAAGAGATTCCGCTCTCGCCGGCCTCCTCGCAGCATCACAGCAGTCTGGATAGCAATCTGAATCGAAGTCCGCCCTCCACGCTGGAGGCTCAATCGCCTCCGGTGACAACTATGCCCGCCTCCGGTGCACCGCTCAGCCCACCGTTGCTCTCGGCACCAACCTCGCCGGCACCGTCGCGCACGCTCAATGGCCTTGATGCGCATAGTCGGTCTAACAAAAATAACAACAACAACAGCAGCAACATCAGAAGCGAGAGCAGCGACAGCCCCAATCCGACACAGGAAAGCAACATGCCCAGCCCCGAGATAGTCCTCAACGTGGAGCAGCTGCTTAGCAGATAGGACACGGTTTAGGCCACAGCGCCCAAGTCATTTATAAAGCTTTAGATCTGAGGTCGTCTTCAAGTAAGAGAATTACCGAGAATTTTCAGTGTTGTGATGTGCAAAGTAAAGTACCTCAAAGCATGCAAACTTGGTTCCAGGTGCGAAATGAAAGTACAACTTAGTCGATGATTAGTAATGTCCATCGATCGAATAAATATATATTCGAACCGGCTTCTCACACTAGTCAAGGTCAATCTTAGCCAATTAACGTTCGAAATACAACATACTCCCATCTAGCTTTATCTTCAAACGGTTCGCACACAGGACTAAAAGTAGAAAGTAGGCTCCTTAAATATGATTTCATCAAAATTGATATTCGACTTTCAATGAATTTCAATTGGAATAATTAATGTCAACAACAAGATTAGAAGAGTTCTTAATATAACTTAAAGTAACCTTCTCTGTCCCCATATGTGGTTAGTAAGTATAGGGAACTGGGATGAGGCCCATTAAGTGTTAATCAATTTTATAAAAGTCTAATCAAAATTACAATTAACTGCATGAAACTTTCAGAACTGAACACACCTTAATGAGCGTAATCTAAAAACTATATCTGAACTAAATTGTTGGGCTGATTCTGTCATCCATCTTGTTTTCAATTTTAAACAAAGTTCCTTTCATATACATATAGATACACATATTCTACTATGTAAATACCGCTAATACTGTTTAGACACTTAAGAATGTTTTTGATAACCAAACAAAATATCAAATAAGTATTATAACTATATGTGAATTTAGTTTTCTAAAGACAATCGTTATTAATTTTATAATAAAAAAGAAATTGACAAAAAGAACTAAGACAAAAATTAAGGAAAAAATGAAGAAAACTTCAATACCCTTGTAGTTGTATTTTATGGAAAATTCAATTGTTTTTCTGGTAGTTTCACATACAAAAAGCGATCCGTACTCATGCGGTTCTATATATACGAAATACCAATCCAATGTAAATGGAACTATCGTGAAACTTTGAAATAACAAATTTGATAAAAAATGTTTTCAAAATACAAACATAAAACTCTTAAAAATTATCAAATGGACCTATGAAATGAATTCTAAAAATCTTCAATTTTGGAGCCTTAAAATTAAAATATCTACAAGGGTATCGAAGAAATGATGTACCTAGAGTACGCAAAATATTTAATGATCCAATAGTTGATCTTATTATTTGTATAAGACATTTGTAGCAGCTATATATGTTAGACTAGTCGGATTGTAAACTACTCATCCTATGTGTCAAGTATTAACTAACATAAATAAATATCTATATTTAACAAAAGAAGCTAATAAATAAAAGTAAAAATATCAGTTGTTTAACGTAAGTCCATAGCTAATTCTACCAGAATATAATTCAACTTGAAGTCAAGCCCACTATTGCAGCAACTTTTATAAGTCATATAGACTTAGCTCTAAGATCAAATAAATAAACTAATCGAATTTTATTGATCCATTTCGGTTTATTGGTAATCTCGCGACTTTTTAATTTATTTCATTTCATATTAATAAAAGCCCATTGTCAATTATGTCAAAGCTTAACAAACGGCATTCATTACTCAGCTGATTTAATTTGATTTTTCTCTTTTTCTCTTTTATTGACATCAAAACGTTTATTGTGTTTTAATTAAGCGGATAATTCTGCGGCTGTGTGTTTTTGTTATTGTTATTACTTAAATACTTACCATAACTATTTATAAATGGTAAAATGGAAAATAAAAATATATATTAATAAATGGAACGATATTGTTTAATTATATTTATGGGTATCCCAATATGAAGCATGATTAAAATCAAACTCATTTCTATGTTATGTAAAAGACCCTAAATAATTATTTTTCAATTTTGTTCTAAATTTCTACTCATTCAGAAATATTTAACTAGGCTGGTGACACGCATAACATTTCTCATATTTATATTCCCTAATGCATATTAATGCTGAAGATATTACTGCTGGTAAATATTTATGAAGTAACTACGAGAATTACAGAAAAGTTTATATTCATTTTACAATTATCAGCCATAGAGCAAGGAACCTTCAACCAAAATGGCAAACAAAATTGCAAAAAATGATTTAACTTTTTGATTAAATAAATAAGAAAATTTGTCATCTGAAATCCTCAATAGATAAGTTGCGTGACTAAGATAGCGAAATCCCAGGCTAGTCTACAGTTGTAGTGCCTTAGCCTAAGAACAGCGTTATTTGACACTATATAGACATCATATTGCTTGTACCTATATCCTCTACTAACTGTTAGCCTTCAACCTATCTAAAAAGGTTCTCCAAATGAATGCTGTATATGAACGAACAATGCTGAAAGTGTATACTAAATTGACTACAGTTTCACATTTTGCTTAAGTTGTAGGTGTTTATTATTGGAAGTGTTTTTTTCGGTATGCTTTGAATTTGTTTGTGGTTGTGTTTGTGTTTGTGTGTGTGTTTTAGTTTGTAGCAGCTTAAAGAGCGGCCTGCTCGTCTTCCATATAATACCTAAATAAATGCTATTCCTCCTCTTCTTTTTCCTTACGATGTGATTTCTTCTTCTCGTTTCGACTGGACGAACCGGACGAAGTTGTGGCGCTGCTTTGTTTGCTGCTACGCTCGCTGCGATCCTTTTCGCGCGATTTGGATTTCCGACGACTGGACTTGTCGCGTGATCGCGACCGTCCCTCACGTCTCGAGCTTTCTTTCTCTTTGTCCTTATCCTTATCTTTATCCTTGTCCTTCTCTTTGTCCTTTTCCTTCTCCTTTTCCTTTTCCTTGTCTTTGTCCTTATCACGCGAGCGCTCCTTTTCACGATTGCTTCGCTCCCTATCGCGCTCCTTATGATCACGCTCCTTACGCTTCTCCTCCTTGAGTAGGTGCAGATAATCCTCAAAGTACTCCTCACGATAAGCTGAATCCAATGCCCGATAACGTGGATCCGCTTCGAATTTTTTCTTAATATCATACCAGCGCGTATGACGCTCAATATCGTGCCGCTCACGCAACATGTCCAGAAAATCTTTGCGTAGCTAAAAATATTAAACAAAATTGATTAATTCTAAATTATAAAATGTAATAAAAAATACAAATACCTAACAAATATAGAGTATGGAAAAGAAATTAAACAGCTCTAGTGCGACTTTGCAGTATTTTATTTCTAATAGTTAGTCAAATAATCGAAACTTACCTGTTCCTTCTTTAGCTGCTTGTCCTTTTCACGTCGCCGCCTTTCACGGTCATCATCGTAGCCATCTGCTCTGCGATCTGATGAAGAAGACGAGGGCATATTGGAGGTGCTGCCGTTCCCGCTATTGCCGCCCATGGGCATCCTCTGCTGGGGTCCCATATCTGTAAGTAAAAGGTACAATGTTAAAACGACATATGGCGTAGGTATTGTACGGACCACTTACTCAGGTTGGGAGGCATGCGCAATATACCAGGCGGCGGGCCCATACCTGCGTTGCAAAAATGTTGAATTATGCCGTATTTGCATTAAGTTGATGCGGAAGACAGTGCAGTGCTTACCCATGTTGTGAGGCATCCGCATGTTGGGTGGCATCATGCCGGGCGGCGCATGCTGTCCCCGCAGCTGTGGTGGTGGTCCGCTCATTTGGGGTGGTGGTACATTCATTTGAGGCGGCATACCCGGTGGTCCGCCTATTTGTGGCGGCGGCTGTTGCTGCTGAGATGGGTGGTGTGCGGGGCCAGGCGTAAGCTCCTTAATGCCAGTGGGCACCCAGCCGGCATTATCATTGCCCCACTGTGATTCCTGAGTGGGCTCGTAGCCATAGTCGAACGGTTCCGGTTCATGGAAGAAGGGCTCATCGGCAGCACCCGGAGGTGGGAAATTGGGTGCCATAGGTCCCAGACCGCCACGCGAATACTCACGACACTCCGCCGTCATTACTTGTATCGCATTCTCCTTTACGCCCCCTGTGGTGGATATGGGACGCGGCGGTCGTGCCATCATGCCCATGCCAGGCCGCGGCTGATGCTGCATCATGGGCGGAATGCCCGGCGGCGGCATTTGCATGGGTCCGTCGCCCAGCACCACCATTGGCTGGTGATGATGCATGGGAGCGCCCATGCCCATGGGAACGCCTATGTTGCCCGTGCTGCCACCATCTGGCATGCCCATTGACGTGGCACTCTGATTCACATTTTGGGTAAGACTGGCCAACCCCACGCCGCTCTCGGCCACTCGAAACCGTTTCTGACGCTCACAATACGCACGCCACGTTTCTTCGTTGAAGCCATAGTTAAAGTAATCGGTAATATCAGCGCCAGGCTTACGCCAGGGCTTCTCCTCCAGCGAGTCAATGCTAAACTCGTGCACGGCAACGCCGTTAATGGTTCCAGCGCCCTCGAAGTCTTCGATGCTAAATTTGCCGGCCTGCGCCGTTGGCTTCGCTTTATCAGCCGCTGTAGCGCCTGCCAATAAATTGGGTCGTTGTTTGATATTGTAGGTGCTGGGTGCCGACTTGATGTCGCCAATAACCACATTGATATCATCATCAGAATCGTCATCGTCATCATCATCGGATCCAGAGCCATTTCGCTCTTTCCGCGATACCGCAGCAGGTGCACCAACCGTTAAATCCGCCATATCGGCATCTTCCCCCTGCGAGCCAGCATCATCCAAACTGCTGCCGCTAGCTTCTATGCCCAGTGCTACTCGCGCACTGTCCGTTATGTCCGGCAGTGCTTCTTCATCTTCTTCCATTTCCTTGGCGGGATCCTCGAAGTCGGCATATTCGAGCAACTCCTCTTTGGGAAAGGCGGGCAATGGGCAACCAGCTCCAGGCTTCTCTCCGGTAACTGCAGCAAGTGCCTCGTGCTCCGCCGCTAGTGCATCGCTGCCGTTCGATAGTTCAGTGGTCGTTGAGTCTGGATTTGATGTCCCGTACAACCAGCTATCCTCATTAGTATCATCTGCCATATTTGTGTTAGGTTTTAACCGCGGCCACGAGTTTATTTAATTAAATGCTCCGAATGCCGTACGGCGAGCTCAGGTAAACACTGTTTAATAAGCTACAAAACCTTTTTTAGCATTACGTCTTTTGTATATTTCGGTCACACTGGCACAGTATTGTATTTTATTCTCTCGGCGTTGCGCTGTGAAACGAATAAAAATGGAACGCAACAAAGCAGCTGTTAAAACCGCGCGTTATTTAAATTTGTGAATTCTAATTTATTTGTTAAGAACCCTACAAAACAAGCCTCCTTTTATTAAATATTTCCCATATACTAAACAAATGTATTTATTAATTTGTTGGGAATATTTATATTTATCGTTTAGGGCTTAAAGTGTTTTCAATATATCACGCACAACGTTGCGAAACATGCAGGAGAGGGCACAATCGTAACGCTGCAGAGATAGTTGACGTAATCCAAGCAGAAGTTGACCAAAGCGCAGCCAATGGGACCGATGCAGAGTGTAGCGGGCCAAGGAACAAAGTGCACCATTCGAGTACGTCTCTAAGATCAGAGCATAATCAGCATTTAAAGCCAGTTCTGCAAAGGATATAATTAAGGTTGATACTTATTAGGCTGTGAACCTTAAACACACCTTTGCGGCACAAAATTAAGGTTTCCAGAAAGTTCAGCTCCATGAGATCGGCTTGCAACTGTTGGGCCTCCGATAACATCAGCTTGAGCTGAACATCTCCGCAGCTCTCGATCATAGCACTGATATCCAAGGACCAGTGCGAAGCACGCAATATGAAACACTCACTCCAGACCACCTGGAGAATAGCATCCTGTTGGGCACGTGCTACCAGACGAAACTGTTCATTGAGCTTCGCTTGGCGCAAGCATGTGACCAGAATCTGTGCAAGTATCTGAAAGTGCAGCGTCGGTCCAGGTGGCGATGGCGGAGCTGGCGGCGTTACAACCAATAGACGTTGACTGTTTTGCGCCTGCTGACTACGTGGTCCGCGCTCCTCCTGCACTGCTGCAATATTCATGCCCACGGCAAGGCAGCGCTGAAAGCGACACGAAGGGCACCAATTGCGACGTGCTTTATCCACCACACAGTTGCCCTTAACGGCAATGCAGGCATAGTGACTACCCTTCCGGACACTGCGCTTGAAGAAGCAGGAGCACCCATCGCAGCACGAAACTCCATAATGCTTGCCAGAGCTCTGATCGCCACACACCTGGCAGGCATTATATAGCGATACAAGTGACATGGACGTAGCAGCTATTCCGACTCGACTAAACCAGGTTGGCCATGTTATTGGCAGTTTTATATGGCTAGATATAGTTGGGCGTCCACAAATGATATGCAAATCAAAGACACTTCACTTGAACATGAATTGAGGTTTTTTTATTTATATTAAACAGCTAAACAGGATAAGCTGGAATTTTACTAGAAAGGGGGGCGTAACGTGTCAAAAGTGACAATCATTGCCACGGGCTAACGGGCTAACACGGACGCGTTAACAATTTGTAAACAATTATTGTTGTGCTCTATGATTGGTCAGAAGTGTCATCTAAAGTGCTTTCAACTGACATTTTGTGTAAATAGAAGAACGAGTCCAAAGTCCAAGCCATGACAATTAGGGGTTGTGAACGAATTGGAATTGAAGAAGCAGCAAAGGGGCGATGATCGTATTGAAACATATTGTTATTATAGCAATTTTATTGAATTATGTTTATTGTTATTTGTGAAATTGTTGAAGCACATTTCAAATTATTGCTGTTAGAATTTGTGAAATTTTTAAATTACATTTTTAATTCAATTATATGATTTACCTTTGATGGGCAGCTGTGTTTATATATAAAATATATAAGTACTGTGATATAATTTAAAAATCTTCAAATGGTCAGTTATTCATATATATTTATATATCATACTTATCGATTATTTTACGCAAACGATAAGAACATCTTCATTTAACAGAGCTACTACAGCTTATGTTAAGTCCAAATACCAGCTGTTTAAATTTGTTTACTTTCCTTACAAAGCAGATTGGCATCTATTAAATTTTAAAACTATTTACAAGAAAAGTATTTTTTGCAACATTTTGTTATATCAAGCACAATGGCAGCTATTCAAACACCTTATTTCCCATTGTTAACATTATAACGTATGTTAAGGGTTGCTCTTGTATGTTATAAAAGCGTATCTTTTAAGTATTTTATCGCCAACCGATTGCGGTCACACTATTTACATGTGTCATGTTTTTTGTATTTGTTACAAGAAACGTTTTTAAAATAAAATGTAAGCTTTTATTTTACAAATGAGCGTTAAAGTCGCGCGTATTCAAGTCTTACATCTATACGGTCAGATATAATTGCGATTGCACATATAATTGCACGGTCTGATTTTGCATCGCCTGCAGTCGCTGCGGTATTCTTTGCAGTCGGCCATTTAAATCAAGAAACTACAACTATAAGTGAAAACGTGAAAAGACGCGACGCGGGCTGCAACATAACAGCCCAGCAAATGTGCAGTGAAGTGTTGAAGTGAGCTTGAAAATTGTTCAAAAAAAATAAATAGGAGGTAACTGCCTACAACGACAAATAGAGACTCTAAACGCTGCACGTTTGGAAAGTGACGTCGCGACGTCAGCATACAGGGTGTTGCAATACACATACCTGTGAGTTTTTGTTATTGCTTTAAGATTCATTCATTAAAACTGCAAGCGTTGCATCAAATTCCAATATGTGCCAAGCAGCAAACATCATGCAGCTGTTTGGCAACACCTAGCCTGGCGCTTGCATACACACACAAACAAATACATGCACACATGTGGATTGATTTTTCCAACATTACAATTTCCTGTGTATGTGTGCATGTGTGTGACAGGAAAGCTGCTCCAATGTTTTTTTTGTTTTTCGGATTATATGTGATTAACGCATTACTGCAGTCGCTGATGTTCCATTTCCATTTAGGTGTAAAAATAAACCACATTCATAATATATGCACCCCTAAATAATAAAAAAATGTCAACAAGCGTATATACAGGGTGCCACCAGCACCATCTTCATCTTCTTCAGCAACCCCAACCCCAAATGCACGTGTAGTGAGAAGCGCCAGCAATGCAACAACAACTAAAATAACAACGAGAACAAGCGAAACGTGCCAAAGCACAGCAAATAAAAAGACATTTACATGCATCCATCCAAACATTAAAATATACATATTCAAACACACATACTTATTTACGAAGGTATTTGTATGTAATTATTATATTGCTAGACTGGCTACACTTTGCAGTCAATTTAGCATTAAACGGTTAGCGGCCTCTGCGTTAACGGCATATGCCCATAAATATATATGCTTAGCCCGACTATGTAAAAGGTAAAACGGAAAACAAACCGCCAACTAGCGACTGAATGGGAGGAAAAAAATGGAAATAGTAGAAGACACATTTCCGTCCGGTAGCGAACAAACCAAAATAGACAACAACGCACAGTGTTTCCGAATTGTTATCAACCGTACATAAATTATTTTTAATTATATCAATTAGGATTTTCAACATTGGGAATAAATTGAACATATATAGATCTAATCATATACTGTCAGATCTAATAGAATATGACTGCTTCAACTTAAAATTTTCTATTATTAATGTTATTACAATATTGACATATATAACTGATACAATTTCTATTCAATTAAACAAACAAAATTAAAAACTTCATCTACTCTACGCAATAGAGAATATAATAACTTAATTAAAGTTCTGCCCGCTTGTTCCACTGTGCATCACTTACGTCTTCGTCTTTGCTGTTGCCATACATGCCTATATATACATATACATATGTATATATATGTATGCATGTGTGTGCATGAGTATGCGTATGTTTGTGCTTGTGGCTTCTCTCAGCACTTGGAGGCATGGTACTCAATGCACTTGCAGTTGCTGTTGCTGTTTCATTTTTATTGCAACATGCACCTAAGTATGTATGTCTGTTTGGGCCACTTGACCAGGCGCAGGGAGAATGTGCCGTCTGCCATTCTAAACACTAATCTGAATGCCGCAAGTGTTGCCAGGTTTCCTGTGGCACTCATTAGGGTATAATTTGCATTAGCTGCAACGCAGCAAAAACCCATCGCCAAACACATACAAATGCACATTCATATATGTTTACATATTGATGTACATATAAATATAACTTATTGATTTTACTTGAACTTCAAAGATCTAAAAACACACCTTAGTTTCGAAGAAGCTCGACTGCAAGATACTCTATTAGCAATCTTACTTATTTAAGTGCTAATATGTATTCGGCTCATATGCCCTCTACCGCCATTGAAGAGAGGGCATTAAAGTTCGAAACACAAGAACAACACGTAAAAATTAACCCAGTTCTTGGCGCCCACTCGCTGCAGTCAGGAGTTGTTTGGAATGGCCGAGAGTGGGGGGATGAAGCGAAAACCAATTTTTACCTATCGTCTATGTTCGTCATCAGTGAGCACTTGATGTTGGGCAGACAGCCAACAAACATACAAATAGACAAATAACAAAAAAAATGTTTGCTTATAATTTTCACACCCAGTGCCACATAATGCATGGTTGTTATTGTAGTATTTGCTGCTGCTGCCTGCATTGACTTTTGACGCTTGACGTTGATAAATGAATCATAAAAGCAGCGCAGTCAACGCCACCGGCAAAACGCGCAGACATGGAAATAGAGGGAAAAATAAAAAGATAGGAGAGAAAAAGAGAGGAAGAAAGAGAGCACAACGTTCGAGTTTGTACGCTATATGACAAATATTTTGCTGCTGCTTCGCTTTATTATTCATTTATTTATTAGCCTCTCAAATATTTAAAATGCAGATTATAGAGCGTGACAATGGTGTTGTTGTTGTTGCTTTTATTAACGTGCAAATCGATAACAGCTGTGGCTCTTGTTATCGCATAATTTGAGTGCAAGTTCGTGTCGTATATTTCTCCCATGCTGGCGCCCACGATCGTTGGCACTCTCTCTCCCTCTCACACACACACTCTCTATGTTTCAGAATTGTAGTTGTTGTAGTTTTCTGCTGTTGCTGCTGGCACTGCTGCCGGACAGTGGCAGTGACACTCAAAGCGAGTCCGAGCCGCGCAACTGCCAGAGTCAGTTCGTCTGTTGGCCCATATTGATATTAATTGTTGCTGTTGTTGTTGTTGCAACAAATATATAATATACTTATAGATGTATATTTATATATAAATATATACAAATTGTGTGGGTGCGCTAACCATTTTAAAAACAAAAACAAAAACTTTTTTGTGTGCCAAAATGAAAAAATTTGTTTTTTTTTAATTGAGAGCACACAATTTTTAAAGTGATTTTGCAGATAATCATAAAAGAAGACAAAAATTGAATGGAAATAAGCGGAATTTACTGAAACAAGTCGCCATCTATACATATATAAAAATACGTATGTGTATATATTAATATGATATTTAATATAAATATAACATATTTAGCCAGACTTCTGCCGTGTTTTTTATGACAAAGCCCAAGTTGTATGACGCGCCTGCAATAAAAGTATATGTACATATATATATATATATATATATATATATATAAGTAAAAAAAATATAAACGAAGAACTAAAGCAACAGCAAAAATTCAAGTTAGATAAGAATTGTGGTAGATAAAGGCCTTGTCCCTGCCCTTGCTCTGACGCATGCTCCAATGACTGAGAATTATTTGTAGCCTTAAGCGCTTGCACTTAAGCATTTCCTCATATCGATTACATTTATTATTAATATTAATATTACTATTATTTCGTTGCAGCTGTTTTGCTATAAAACGCAACGGAAGCCAGGTGTTTGTTTGGTAGCCAACAGAACGAGCAGAACAGATGTCTAGCGAAGAGGATAAACCACCGGCGCCGCCAGTGCGTCTCACCAGTAATCGGGGCGGCGTTGGCATCGAACGTGTTCCCATCCCCGGTAGTGGAGCTAGCGGCGTTGGCGGTGTCGGCGATGCGCCTTCAGTTGATATGCGCCCATTGCCCAAAGGTAAATTAGTTCAGCATGTGGATGCCATTGGTACGGTCGACAATATATTATTCTTTACTTGCACTTATAGAGCCCGACGATGCGGATCGCAAAAAGAAGACATTGAAAAGCAAGATGAAAGGCTCTAAGCCTTCACACATGGATTCCAAACCAAATATCTCGTATCCCACAAACTTCGAGCATACAGTCCATGTGGGCTTCGATGCAGTCACCGGCGAATTTACGGTAAGGCCGTCTACCTTTACCGATTATTAATTCTAAGTATTATTATAGTCTCTTGTGGCTTGCATCTTGGCTTCGCAATCATTTTGTTTTATAGCCATAGCAAAGCGATACAATCAATTGCCAATAACTTTTGTGTTTTGCCAGTTCCTTATGAACACACAAATTTTAAAACACACAGAAACACATCCGATAAATGGAAACACTAACAATCCAGATTGTGTGTTGAAATCAATCAACATTACTCAATGCTCAGTTAGATTACCTCTAAGTTTGCTTGTTCATATGAATAGTGTTCAAGAGGCTTCGTATATTTTAGGTTTACTTATTCGAACAAGCACCTGAATCTTAGGACAGTGACTCCTAAATTTATAAAATATAAAAGCAATGAAGTTTCATAACTATATGTAGCCGAATATAAATGCTCTAAGAGAGCTTGTCTATTCGCGAACCTTTTTTGTTATCAATA